TTCTCTTCGAAGGAGACATGAACCGGGCATCGACAGCCGTTGTATTTGCAAGGGAACCAGGTAAAGCAGCAGGGAGTCGGAAAGTGCCCGGGTTTGTGTCACCTCGACAGCAGCTGCTGCCCGTCCGCAGCTCGGGGCTGGCAGTGCGGGGCTGAGCCCGGTTTCCTGCTCCTTCCTCTCACCCCCCCTCCTGGAAATGTGGCTTCCCACCTTGGCTCCTGGGTGGATCCCACCCGCCTCTGGGGATCATCGCGGAAGGCAGCAGATCTGGTGGCCACTTGTCACCGCGGCCCAGCATCCAGCGAGAATCGGAAAGTCAGACGCAAACCGACTGTGCCTGCCCTGCGGTGACCACATGAAAGGGCTCGAGTCTGGGCCGGATCCCGTTCTGTCGGTACCACCCGCCTGTGGAGGGTCAGCGGGCCCTGCGGGCGCTGCTGCTCTGCCTTTCCAGGGCACAGCAGGGTGAGGTGAGCCTGCGGAGGGTGGGGGTCGTCGGACGCTGCCCCGTGACTTGTGACTGCAGGCTGCCTGAGCCCAGGTTATTCCAGAAAAATGCCCTCATTTCACGCTGGATGCCCTGTGCCCCATTCCACACACAGCATAAGAAAGCAACATCCTAACTCCTGTTGGCCCCGGGGCTTGAGTGACCTGTTCCAGACCTTTGCTCTCCGCCCCTCGCTGCTTTCACGCTGCGGTAGGGCCGTCCCCACTGCCCTGGCCCCCGCGCCACCCAACTTCTTCTGCTGGCAGAATCCTCCCTGCTCGCGCTCCGCCCTGCAGCTCAGAACTCGACGCTCCCAGCCACATGCTGCCTCTGACCGTCCAGGTTCTGGAAAGCACCACGCCCCTACGACACTGCCCCGTTGGCTCCGCAGCACCCACCACCCGCCTCAACGCTCACCTGTTCCCAGGGGGCATCAGCTGGTCTCTCCGCTGGAGTGGCTGCCACGACGAGCAGGAGTCTATCTGCCCCGTCTGCTGTCACGACAGGGCAGCTCAACGGCACTGCTTCCCGGGCTGCGTGGCCTTCCCCCTTCTTCGGCTTGGTTTGCTGACCAGAGCTCCTCAGCCTCACGTGCGGGTGGCCTCTGCGTGACTACGTGCGGGTGGCCTCTGCGTGACTAGTCTGAAAGGCTCCAAGGCTGCAGGAGGGGGAGGTGGTGAGGGCACAGTGGGCGGAGCACTGAAGTTTGAGAGCATCTGGAAGCCCCTTGTCCCAGCTGCCTGGCCTGGAGCAAACGACATCAGGAAAATGCAGATTTTTAACTTAACTGTAGACATATGCTAAAGAACTTTGGCCCCACATTCTGTTTTTGTCCGTCTGATGTTTACCTTGGGCAAAGCTCATGGAGTTGTTTCTGGCGCCGTGATTCCAAGAGGCCCAGACCCCAGAGAGCCATGGCCCTGGGCCAGCGGGTCTCAAACGGGACCATGCATGCGGCTCTCTGGGCAAAGCTGAAAAAGCAGGTGGTCGGGCCCCACGCTCAGTGGTCCTGGGTGGGGGCCTGGTACCCCCTGCATTTCTAATGTGCTCCCCGTGGTGGGATGCTGCTGGCCCAGAGACCACACTTTGAGGACCACTAATTTAAGTAGGAGGCATGAGGAGATGATGGTCCACGCAACTGAGATTTGCACAGCGCTCCAGCATCCGTAAACCGAGTTTCGGATGCATTCCTACTGGCTCCTCCCAAAGCCCTGAGAAGTGGGCGTTACACCCATTGTACAGATGAGCAGATGGAGGTTTGCAGGGTCATACAGAGCACGTCCTGGCTCCAACACCAGCAGCCTGCCTGCATCCCCCCTGCCCACCCCACACTGACGCCCTGGAGGGGTGAACATCCTAGACATCTGGTAAGCAAAAGGTCGCTGTACCCTACATCCCCAAGTCCTCTGACTCTGAATGATGGCAGTTGCCTCCAGAGGGGTCTCCTTGCCCGGGCCCCCCCCTCTTCCTGCAGCAGCCCGCTGCACGGGCGTGGCGAGCACTGGTTTTCCAGTTGTAGAAGGGGTTTTGTTCTCTGCTCTGGTCGTGCCACCTGTGTGTCTCAAACCAGTTCTGTAGCCCTTTATAGTTTACAAAGTGGTTTTTCTCTTTTTTTCCCATTTGCCCTCTCATTTGATAGTTACAACAATCCAGCCTATAATTCCACTTAAGCGCCCTGGCCCGGTGGATCGGTTGGTTGGAGTGTTGTCCTGTACACCTGAGAGGTCACAGGTTCAATTCCTGGTCAGGGCACTTACCTCGCCCATAAGTTCCATCCCTGGTTGGGGCATGTATCGGAGGAGGCGAGGGTGATGTTTCTCTCTCATATCAACCTCCCTCTCTCTCTCTCCCTTCCGCTGTCGCCAAAATCAATGAAAACATATCCTCAGGTGAGGATTAAAAAAAATTCCACTTAAGCTTCCCCCATTGCCTACTGGGTCAAGTTCAGGATATTTGGTAGGGCCCCTGCCTTCTCCCTCTCCAATTTCCCTTGGAACGGAGCAGAGAATGGCTCCCATGTTTATTCCTCCCGTAAATACTGGCTGCCTCCATGTGCCAGGAAATGCATAAGACCCTAAGGCTCCATACAAGACGTTAGCCGTGACCCTGAACCCATGGGCATCGGACGGTGCCCTGCGACCAGGCCCTGTGTTTATGGCAGCACTTACCCCGTGGGGCTGAGATCGCCCCATGGAACAGTCAGTCCCCCGACTAGGACTACAGATACACTTTGTGAGCAGACGGCCTCGCTTTGCACAGAGACTGCACAATTAATGTCTGTTAAATCAAGCCCAGGAAGATATCGATGTGTTTTCTATTGTTTCACTTACCTCATTAACCTTGACTTTATGATATTCCTAAACTTTCGCTAGTATTTATATTCTTATGTAGACATACCTAAAATGAAATGGGAATATAGTTATTGAACATAATTGCAGTTTCAAAAATAATGACCGGCTTTGCAGGGTTCGTGCTTCGAGAGTGTGTGTACTCCATACTCTGGGCCTGTCCTCCTACGAAGGGGCCCAGTATACTTCCAGGAACCCCTCAGGTTCCTCACCTGCTTAGAAAAAAAGTTGCAAGTTAAAAGCAAAAACCTTGTGCAGAGAGCCAGCCTTCTTTTTTGTTACTTTCATATCAACTTAAACTGCAACTCGACCGACCTCACGGTGCCTAAATGCGCCTTCCTCCACTTTGCTCCAGGAGCCGGCCACCTTCTCTTCCTGGAATTTCAGAGCGTGGAAGCCACGCTTGCCAGCACTGCTGCGCACTAGCAAACTTTCTGCGCACCACGGCTCCCTTTGAGCGCCAACGTCTTTAACGACGTCCCCTCTAATCGCACACATTCCTCTTTAACCGAATTAAATGTCATCTAAGGCAGCCTCAACATCTGACACCTATGATGCCACATGTCACACTGAGCAAACAACATAGGGGTCTTTTCAGCAGTCACTTGTGTGACACCATTGCCTCAGACTGGCCCTGGATGACATCTCTGCTTTCTTGACGTACGTACTAACTCCGTTGGCTTCCACACCCCCATGCCCGTGGGCTACGCTCCTGTACTGTCCCTGTGCACCCGACCTTCCTGAGAGACAAGGGGCAGAGCACAGCTGTTGGGCAGAGTGTGCCGTCAAACGGGACTTTGCCAATTCTGAACGAGTTGAATGTTCAGCTCGAGATGGCCCAGGGCGCTGGGGGACCGTCCGCTGAGTAAGTGGGGCACAGTAATCTACCTTTTTCCCTAGAAACAACAAATGGTAAATGTGAACCCGAGCGTATTTCAGAAGCCGGTGTTTTGGCGAGGCAGGCCTAACACCTGACTCATGTAAAGCTCTCTAAAGAGGCCCTTTCAGATTCCCTAGCGAGTGGATGAGGGCTGAACAGACCCTCCGCGCTCAGTGGCTGAGGAACAAAGGCTCGACTCTCTCTCTCCCGGGCATAGGCAAAGCTGAGCGTTCCAAGCGGACAGGCACCTCTGCTCTGCAGGGGCCTTCAGGGACTCAGGTTCCTTCCCCGCCTCCCGTGAGTGCTGAGCTTTTTACCTGCATGGCTGTGGTGAGGGCGCACCTGCTCCGAGTTCCGGCCGCTGGGAAGTAGAGAGAAGGTAGAGGGGACCTGTCATGGCGTGTGCCTCTCCCACTTCCACCCCTTGGCAAGAATCAGGCACATGGCCACATGGAACAGCAAGGTGGGCCCTGGGGCGCAGTCCCTGACTGCACAGCTTGATGCCCGGCTACCACTGTGTCTGTATGACCACTAGTGTCTCCAGCGGAAGTGCAGTTTGTTGTTTGTACTTGATACAAGCCCTTGAAACCTCTATACGATCATCTTGTCTTTGGTAAATTCAACAGGAAGGGAACCAGACTTAACAACCCCTGATACACAGGTGATTAATAAATCTCCGTTGAAAGAATAGATGAAATGGAGACACATCAAAATGTCGTGACTTTAAATTGCTTTGCGAGTGTGTGTCCCTCTCTGCTGAGTGACCAAGAGCAAAAGGAGAGTTTCTGAAAATCAAAGTGTAACTAGTTTCCTCCATGAACGTGTGTGGAGAGTGTGAAGTCCATGTGCTGGCCCAAATACGGAGGCCCGGGGGAAGGCTGGGCGCGTTCCCGAGTGACCCTCCGTGTTTTCAACTCGATGCCGAAGGAGAAGCCAGTAAGAGTCTGACCTACGTTGTACCTTCCACTTTCAAACCAAGGTCCTGCCTTGAACTTGAGTCCCCGGTGTGTGAAAGGCACACTGTGTGACATTCAGAGCACTTGTGAAGTGCAAGTACCTCCCCTTGCTAGCAGATATTAAGTGGGCTATGACCAAGGCCCAGCTTTTTTCTTTTAAAGACAAAAACCAAACATTTTTGTCACCATCAAGACCAAAAGAATAATTCAGATTTGCTAGTCCCGTCACTTATAAATTAAAAGTAAATTCTTATAGAATGGGAAATTCACTCCACCAAATATAACAACAGTTAACGTCATCAAGATAAAAATCAGTGACCTTTTTAAAAAAGATTACAAAATTGAATTTATTGAGTTTCACACAAGATGCACTTATAAAATTAGTACTGAATGCCATTTTGACAGCAGAAATGAACATTGTTCCAAACTCCCAGTATCCTCTGCAAAGGAAATGAAACTCCCGTGAAATTGACAGCACAGTAACAGAGTAATTCAGGCTGAATTGAAAGATACGCCACCATCATATTTCTGCTCTGGTTAGGGCTATATTTGGCAAAGTTTCCCCCCAAACTATTCCTATTTACCATGGACACTTTTAGTGGAGAAGATGAAAAAAATTCCTAATTTGGGGCATCATTAAAACATAGGCAAAGCAATTAACAGTCTTTTCATTTTTCACTTGAAATGCTTCATGGTCAACAAAAGTATTTCTGCACTATTTCCCTTTACCCGATGTGAACATGAATCTTCAGATTTCTTTCGCTAATGCAAAACATTAGAAAATCACTTTTGTATGTTGAATAAACAAGACAAAACTTTACTCCAGCCTGTTTGGGTTTCACCCAGGAAACAGACAAACCCCCTAAAACTGACCTCTGCGTACCGACCTCTCCATGTGCCGCGACATCAGCAGAGCAGCCGAGCTTCCCGGCAAAAACGTTACAGGGAACGACCATTAACAGTGACACCCGTTTGACATCGGACGCTGGAAAATGTTCACAACGATTCAGAAAGGCTTCTCAGGATAAAACGTGGTGGAAAGTAACGTGCTTCTGATAGAGGCCACAAACTAGGAAGTAGGCAGACACGGAGTCCTGACCTCAAGCAAAACCGAAAAGCACCTTTTGGTTGCTGTTCCCAACATCCATACACAAGCGCCTCAGCCACCCACACACCCCAAACACCCATTTCCTTTCTCCCAAAACGCGCCCGCCCTGCCCCCGCACAGGCACACCACAGTCGCAGGGCCCTACAGAGCACAGACCGCCCCGGGGGGCAGGCATGGCACCCCCGCAGCCACTCCACACGAAGGACTGACGCTGGGTAAGCCCACGCCAGACGGTGCTGCTCGGCCCAGTTCACTGTTTACTATGTATGAACCTGTTACTAGGAAACTCAAGTAACAGCCAGCATCTTTGAATTTCATACGCGGACAGTTCTGCAGCCTAGTCGACACCAGATCCTTTGAGCTGTAACAACTGCCGAAGCAACTAGTTTTAGAGCAAGACCAGTTAGCTGCCCATTGACATTAACACTGCTCCGCTTTTTCAGTATAAAAAGTACCTTTTTGTAAGGTAATTTCTATTTCATCCACTGCGATTAAACACCACACAGGACACATTTTGCTTTAGAGTAAACTGAAAAATTATGAAACATTTTCTCGGTGATGCATAACCTTCATCAATTAGCATTTTTCTAAACAGACCAACTGGCTTCGGGCTTTTTTCCCCCTATAAAGTGCTACTATTCATCATGTCTTATTTAAGGTAGCCTTTTATTCTGAATAATTCAGATATATCTTCAAGGATAACTCTGTGGTGAGAACATTTATCTTGACTTAAGTTCAAATTTTTTTAAAATGCTTTGGCAGAGGAAGTAGTTTGAAAACAGTTTGTGCAGACAGTATGAGCCGGGACAGATCACGTCACGGTGAAAGCGTCACAGTTTCCCAGGTGTGTGCCCTCCTGCTGGAGAGACCCTGAGGCCAAGTTCGGTGTTCTGGAAGCACGGACTGTCGGAGCAGAGTGATTCTGACGTTGTTCCCATGGGGCCAGAGTGACCCACCCTGCTGCTTCTCCAAGCAGGGGGCCCCTCAAAGGTCAAGGCTGGAGGCTGCTGCTGTTCCAGGACCTGACCTTCGACCAGACCGCATCACTGGAAGAAAGATATTAAGATTTGCTTTCCATTAATAATTTAAGTTTTTAAATAAATATTTAAGTGCCACTTTCCGCATCCGTCCGCCCGGCAGCACAGCGGGCTGCCCCGGACTCAGCGGAGTTCAGTCGATTCGGTTCCCGCAGATCGTGAACCTGTCTATGTCTAAGAGGTCTTTCTTTGAGGACCTGTGTTTCAGTTCAGAGTTCTCCTGCGTTATGTCTTTCTCGTCACCATCTGGAGTTGTCAGGAACTGGTCAGAACTGCTTGTCACAAGTAATGGCACGACATTCTCCTTCTGATGGCTGGGCTGGCTGGTGACCGAGGCAGACAGGTTTTCTTCTGTGGAAAAACAGACACGTTACCATTGATCAGGAAGGGCTGCCCCCAAACTCGGAATAACGACGAGCTTACCAGCGTAGTGGCCCCGGGAGAAGTGTGAATGACAACCGAACGGCATGCTGTCCCAGCAGCCACAGCCCACCAGTGACACCCAGAGGCCACGCCGCCTGTGTTTGCTGACCCACGCTTTCACACGGGGGCGGTCACAGGGGTCATTTCTCACAAAGGACGCCAGCCCGGCTCTGGAAAGAGCAGGAGCCCCACGTGAGGAGCTCCCTCCCACAAAGGTCCTTGCTGACGGCGCCAGGCCAGCAGCCGGAGCGTCAGCCCCTCCGCCCGGGGCGTCAGGGCCGAGCAGGCTCTGCAACGCTCCAGCTCTCACGTGCAGCCACTTCTGCTAGACTCAGCACCCCACCTGCAGAGTCCTCATCTGAGGCAAAAACAGACCAGTAAACAAACCCCAAATGTTTATTTTGAGCCACAGGGTCCTGGAGCCCGGCCCTGCCAATCCGACCCGCTCGCGCCGCCCTGGAGCAGCAGCTTCCTGGGGTGAAGCAGACGCACCACAGACTGGGCGCGTTTCAGATGGACGGCCCGCTGCGCGCTGGCCTGCGCTACCCCACCGCCGGTCCCTGTCTCTGGGTACTCCCTCCGCCTTGCCCTCCCTGCGCCCCAACCCCGGCTGCCATCTGGTGCATCTTCTAAAACATGATGAACAGCACGCCGGCCTGAGAGCTGGTCCCTCTTTGTGTCCCCGATCAGGGCCCACGCTGCCTGCCGTGCAACACCTTCCCCGTGCTCTGGGGCCCCTGGTCCCTGACGGATCATCCGAAATGCCCTCCTCGTACACTGTCCTGGATCCAGGGGCCTTGACCTGCGAGCTGTGCCGAGGGCTTTACCTCCGCATTGGTGTGGAGGCTCCTTTATGGCAAGACAGATGCCAAGTTCTCAGGAGCTGAAGGAGCCAAGCCAGCACACACTCGACCCGCTGCGAACGAGGCAGGGGGTCGCAGCACGTGCCCGAGCACATGTCGAAGTCCCAGGCTGCTGACGGCGCTCACGCTGCCTTCCTAAGGGAACACTCACTCCAGTGCGGCTCCGCCCCCCGCCCCTCCCACTTCACAACAGCTCCCTGCAGCCCACACAGGGAGAGCGTGGGCCTCCCTCCAGACATGCACCCGTCCTCGCCCGGCCCATTTCCTCTGTCCCGTCAAGACTCAGTTTGGGCAGTGCCCACTCCAGAAGGGACGAGCCCTCTCCTGCCCCCTCCACACCCACGGATATGCTCACTCCCTTGTTTGAATTACCCACCCGTGTCGCCCCACGGAGCAGTTCTGTGTGCTCACAAACACACATCCAACCATCCTGCGAATGTAACACCCATGTGAACGGGACCTGGCACCCAACAACAAAACTTCAGCCAGGGTCCCTGTTCTTCCTCCAAATGTCCCAGGCCAGGAGCCCTGGGGTCACCCCTAACTCCTGTCTCCTCCTCACACTGCACGGCCGCACCAGCAGGTCCCGGGCTCTCCAGGCCCTTCCAGGATCTGGGCAGGCGGCCCCGCTCACACCACTAACCTCTGCTCCGAGCCAGGCAGCCTGCTCTGGGCCCTGGTCTCCGGGCTTGCCCTTCCTTACTCTATTTTTCACAAAGCCTGACAATCACCTTTAAAAGTGTCTGCTGGGTCCCATCCCTCCTCTGCTCCGAGCCCTGCAACATCCCCTTCCCATGGCGTGAGAGCCAAAGTCCTTGGAACTGCCCTCAGGGCCCTGGCTGAGCTGGGGCCCCGCAGCCTCTTGGACCTGCTCCAGTCCCCGCCCCGGGTCTGCACGTCCCCCACGTGCCAAACACGGCCCTGCCCGGGGCCTCGGCATGTGCCCGCCGGCCCTCTGCCTGGCCACTGCTCCCTGGAAGGTGCGTCTCCTGGTGGCTGGGGGGTGTCCGCTTTCCCCGAGCCTGTCTTGGTTTTCTCTGCAGCACCTGCCCACTGCCACCCAACAGGGTGCTCAGTCCCTCTCCGACATCCTGGAGTGGGCGCTGCCCTCTCCTCCCACAGGGGTCCCCGAGCAGCGGGTGCCACATCTGCCGAACAGCGAAGGGACGTGACAGCCCACAGCGCCGCCTGAGGTGTATGCAGGTGGGACCGCACAGGGACACTGACAACGGCAACTGGGCAAAGTGCAGTCACATCCTGAAGGCTAAACGCTGAGGGGCGGTGGCAGGGGGTGGGCCACCAGGCCAAGAGCAGGCAGACGCTCCTCGGAACGTGGCCTGGAGGTGTGGAGAGGGGCACCCACCTGGAGAGGGCTTGCACTTGCTCTGTGATTTACTGGGCGGCTTGCTGGGGGTGCTGGCGGGGGGAGGGCTGAACAACTTCTCCTCCATTTTGGCCCCCTTCACATACTGGCAGGATTTCCCCAACAGCACGATGCTATTCAGTACTTTCAGGGATATCAACCTAAAACCAGAGAGAGACAAACGACCACTGTTGGAACTCACCTCGGCCACTGTGGATGCCCCTGCCACCAGGGTGAGGGAGGGCCCGAGCCTGAGACACACCCACGCCGAGCTCCTGAGGCTTCCTCCAGGGGAGATGTGTGACGAACTCCTTCCTTCTCATTGTAAGAAATGGCACCCTTTAAAAGTTACAGCTTCCAACTACTGAACATTTATTGTCTTCCTACATCATTTAAAGATCTTACCAAACTGTTTAACTTTCCTCTCATTACAAAATAAATGCTTTTGGTGAAGTTGGGTGAACAAAGACACACATGAAATAACTTGGGTGCCGCAGGCCAGCACTGGCCCTGCAGCATTGCGGTCACCGCCCTGCTGTGCTTCCTGGCAGCTCCGTGAGGCCCCCTCCGAGGTGGGAGGGCTGGGTTTGGAGTCGGAGCTCCCACAGAAGGGCCGCTGCTGAGACATGCGTGGACCGGGGCTCTTCACCAGCCAACCCATAAAGGGACGGTCCCCGTGAGGTGCTCAGAGCAGTGCTGGCCACACGGAAAGGTGGACGGATCTTGTCACTTTACTGTCGTCATCACTGGTTTGCATGAACAGTGTATGACGAATACTGTTTCCTATCATTTATGTCCCTCAGTTTATTAACACTATTTTAATGGACTTACAATACTGCATTGCAAGGGTTTTCACAGAACAAAGCCCCTCAAAGCCCTTACTTTCTGGATATTTAGGTAATTTTGAATATTTTTCTTCCATTAAAAAGTTTCTGATTATAAAAACTTATGTTAACTCTGTATTTCCTTAAAATAAATTCCTAGGCAGCTATAATTGCAGAAGTCAGATTTCTAGACCAAAGGTACATAAAATCTGCAGGTATTGATACAAACCTGGCAAAAATTCTGAGGAAAAACCCGACCCTCCCTATCGGGACCTCCTCACATAGGGGGCCCTTAAGTGACCCAGCACCAAGGGCCTCACCGCCCGCTCTGCATCGAGTGAAGACGTGGGCTGCGGTTTCTTACGTCTGAGATAAGACCCTGGCAAACCCAGATTTTAGGTCAGGGGGGTGGTGATGGGGTGGGGTGGGGGGAGCGGGATGCATGTGAGGGGCCTGGTAGGAGGTCACCGCAAGAAGCAAAGAGACGTCCGTCACGGTGGCCTCCACACCCAGGAGAGAAGAATGCAACCCCCAGGGCCTCGCACATGCATGGCCTCAGGCCCCCGGGGTGCACACTTCCCCACCTACCCCAGCCCCAGCTTTGCTCGGTGACCCTCACCACACCTCCCACGGCTTCCTCGGCACTGCCTGGGATGTGTAACAGGATTTCAGACTTACTAGAGCCAGCCCTGACCCCCCCAAACACAAAACAAACACGGTGCCCATGTATGTATGTATATCACAGGCTCCCCCATCACAGTTCATGGCAATTCCATGGCCCCAGTGGCTTGGGCCCCAAACTTTGGAATCACGCTTGATCCTTCTCTTTCTCTCATGCTGCACATCCAGTCAATTCATCCGCAAGTCCTGCCCAGCTCCACTTTCAAAATCTACCACTAGCTGTCAAGTTCTCAGCACTCCAGCTCCAGCCACGGTCGCCTGCCCTGCAATGGTAGTGACGACCTCCTGACCTGCCTCTGCTCCTCCTCTCGCCACACTCCAGTCCAGTCTCTGCAGCAGCCTGTGTGGCCCTGGCAAGAAGCTGAGGGGACGTCGCTTTCCTCTGCTCAGAACCTTCCAGGAGCTGCCCCTCCCACAGCTGCCAGGTCTTACCCCCACCCCCCCCCATGCTCCCACGGCTCAGCTCCAGCTGCTCCTGCACTGGCCTGTGTCCCCTCTGAGCCTGCTCGCTCCCCCGGCATCTGCATGCCCTCCCCTCCCCACCCCACCCGTTGCGTGGAAGGGCAGCTCACAGCGGCCTCCCCAGCTGCTCTCTGCAGGGCAGCTGCCTCCGTCCTGTTTTTCTTCCCGATGCTTGCTACCAACAGTCCCTTTACAGTGATCTGTCCTTCTGGTTGTGGCGTTTCTCCACTGGAACTTCAGTGATACGAAGCCAGGTGCTCCTGTCCTTTCTGGTGGGTCCCCAGACCAGTGCTGAGAGCAGCCCTGGGCACTGCACGCTGCTCTCCGAGGACGCTGAGCAGACAAGCTACCTAAGGGGGGGCCGGGCCGAGGTCCTTCCCCCCACAGCTGGTGAGAAGGGCCTGCAAGAGGCTGGGCGTGTGGGGTCAGGAAAGCACAGCGCTTGTGTCGGGAGGCTGGCTGAGGTCTGACTTGTTCTCCCTGAAAGGGGACTCCTGGGCCTGCTGGGTCAAGGAGCACAGAGGCCTTCACAGACAGGCGGCTCTGAACAAGTTTCTGAAGGAGGGAAGGATACTTGTGGTGTTAGGCTATTACGGGGTAGTCAGAGTAAGTCCCCAGAACGGAATGCTGGGTGAGGTGACATGGGGTGGGGGTGGCAGGGAAGGCTGTGAATTTTCGGCAGTTCTGAGTCAAACACACCCATTCTGGCGAATCACGCACAGGCAGCCGCAGGTGAACAGAGGTTTTCTGACACAGCAGCTGCCTGCGTGCTGTCTTCATGTGTTTGTGTCAAAAGGAAACGCTGGACTGAAAGCTGTTAGACAACAATGGGGCAAACACAGCAGCACAGCTTCCCGACCAAGACGATGCCCTGCACTTCGAAGGGCAGTGTGAGGCTTTGTGCCAGAGGACGAATCTCGTGCTTTCTAATGTCAAAGCACTTGAAAAGGTTGCCTTAATATGGTAATAGCATTTACGTGTTCGTTCGGCTGGAAAACAGCCACGGGTCACGCACATGATTAGAATTAAACTTGCTCGCTGCCACGGAAATTACCCCCATGGCCTGAACGGCTGGCGGGGCTGGGAAGCACATTCTCCACTCTCGATGCTCCTGAGATGCGAAAAGCGACTGTTCCCGTGCCTGTGACACCTGTGCCAGGCGTGGGGCAGGGAGCAATGCAGGGGACACAGGCAGGAGAGATGGGGACAGCGCGGGGTCCCCGCAGAGCAGACCCCCGCCTGGGGAAGACTGAGTGAGCCCACGGCTGCCCTCATTCGTGCTCATTCCCCCCCACTGTTCTCCCCCCACACACACAGGTCTGGCCGCTCGCAGACGACGTCTGCGGCACAGCTCCCCATGCTCCGCCGAGGCTGGCGCACGCCCAGGCTCAGCCGGCCATGGCGGAGAAGCTACACCCCTGCGTCCTCTTTGGGTTCCGAGGCACAGGCCTGGAGCATGCTGAATCTTTAACGTGGTAAACATGCAGAAACTCAGAGGCTTCTGAACACAGGGAAATATCTGAATGCAACGGCAGACTTTATTTTACAAAATAAAATGGGTAAAACTCAACTCCTAAGCAAAAAGAGTTAAGTAAATCATTTCACTGAAATAAAATCTAAAGTGCTATTAACACTGCCAGTGAGCAGCAGCACATGGACGTACAGCAGAACTCGGCCGAGTCGCGAACTCAGCTGGAGGTGCAGGCTGTCTGGGGGCCCGGGGCCGAGAGAATGGAGCACCAGGACTTGACCGCATCTCACACTTATACTTTATTTATGACCAAAAACATATTCAAGAACAGTTCATCTTACCCAAAATAGAAGAGTATGACACAGGCATAAGACAGGATTCCTTGTACTTTAATTGAGCTTGTTACAACTCTGATGAGCTAGCCAGAAACAAACCAAAACAACAAAAACACAAACAAAACACAACCACAGAGTTATTAGTTAATACTGAAATAATCATCATGCTGATTTTAACACTGTAGGCACACACCCGAGGCCTCTGTCTGAACCCCAGCAGGCAGGCATTTCTAGACCCGCCGGTTCATACCAAACTGTGGCAGCCCGCGAACCTTTTGCGGAGGCCGCGGGTTGTTCAGGCAAAGCTGGACACTCATGGCCAATGCTACGCTCAACTACTGACTCTGTGAAGTCAGACATTATTCCCAGTTCATAAATGACACGTTTGCTTGGCCCCAGTAGAGAAGCAACATGGCTGATTTTTTTTTAATCTAATATGAAATTTTATTTCTAATATAATACCCACTAGGAAGTAGCCATATACAATAATTATATAATTACGAACAGACAAAACATTTACAGAGGTGATTTATTATTGTTTCATACAATATAGGATCAGTATTAATTATTCACCACTAAGCTGCTGATTTCTTATTACATTTATTAAAATCAAATAGAACACATTATCCTTATGAGCCATATACCTATGCTATAGGTTGTGTGCCCTACTGAATTGCAACATGGCTGATTTTTAAAATAAAAAATTATTTCGAAAATACAAATGAGTTCATCATGCTACGTGTGTCCCTGCCATAGCTAGAACCATGTAGTGGGCATTTCCATTATTCTTGCTTTTTGGGTCTTTTGTTTTCTGATTCTTTTTAAGACACCACCCCCCCCAAACATGACTTGCAGAGATCAGAAAGAAAAGGGAAAGGTAAGAGGTTTTTACTCCTTAAAAAAACAAAATGCTATTACAAAATCAATTACATAAAGATAAAAAATTTCTGTCTCCTTGGGTTAGTTGAGGTTAAACACCTATGCTCTTTTTTATCTCACAGAAATACAGCAATAAAATCATTACCCTGGAGGCCTGATGAATAAATCGGGTGGGATCTGCCACTGGAAAATACACATGCACATGACAGCTTTGGCGTCCTAATGTGCCCATTTACACATATTCCTCACTTTGCTTTCATAAAAGACCTCCATTGGTACCTGTTTTTGTTAGCTGAAATAACCCAAAGTTTACTTTTATTATAAAAAGCAAAAACGACGTGTGGGTTTTATCTGCTGGACACGGTGAGTGGCTCTGCCGCTCCCTCCCTGCTCAACCCTCTGCCTCAGGCCACCGCAGCTGCGAGGGAGGGGACACTGGGCTTCACCTCAGTGTACTCTGCGCATCTGTTAGCAAGGGGTGTCCTCAGGCAGCAGGGGAGCCCAAGGCAGCTGGGAAGGCTGTTTACACCAAGAGTAAAACTGAACGTAATTAAGCACTTTGATCCTGGTGAACAAAATAGAGACGTAAAATGCATGTCAACTGCTTCTGCGATGTACGCCATGGCGGCGTCTGCGAGGTTTCCCAGCAGCGCTCTGCACTCAGACAGCAGGGGCCCGAGTGAGGGCCCGGGGGAACCGCGACGTGGGAAATCGGGGAAAATAAGTGGCCTGATCTAGCGATGTCGTTTTCATCAAATAAAAGGATTTACTTTGGTCTCTTAAATAAACATCGTAAGGTACATTTTAAACAATACTTTAAAATGCTGCCAATAAAAGAGCAACTGGGGGAAACGGAGGGTGGGCTGTGGTGTGTCCGGTGAAGTTTCACTCTGAGAAAACTGACACAGAAGCCCCATCACTTCCTCCACTGGGGCAACGGCCGCTGTACAAACACCCTGATGGAAGTTAACGGGGCGCTAGGACTTCATTTGTATCTAGCATATTTTAGGTAACTTTAGGACACATAAAACCAAAGCCTCATTTCCATGAGACCTTAATACGTGATTTCTTTTACTTTTTGGATATGAACTCATTGTAGGACCTGGGGTAACATTTACAAGTAAGCTCTGCCTCCCTTGGGCCTTAACTAAAGAACGGGCTCCTGCGGCCTCAGTACACTCTTCAAAGCCCCTAAACATCTGCCAAAGCTGCAGGGTCAGACCTCGGAGGTCTGAGAGGAAGGCACTGAAGAGAACCCTCCAAAACAAAACACCCGCCAGGTAACTGTGAGAATACTGGTTTTCCAGAAGGTTTTTGTCAATTACTATGTAAGCCTAAATCTCAGTCTCAATATATAAACACTCATTTAAAGACAACCCCCCAAAAACATTTACATACTTAAATAAAAATCCATACTAATCACGAGTAGAGTTTTCTGGCAAAAATGTCACTAGATCGTCATTGTTAGCAAACCAGAGCCACGTTCAAACACAGCATCTAACCAACCCTTTTAAACAGAAAGTGGCCGGGCTATCGTGGTTACCCTCACACTGTATGTATCAGGACTCTAGTTGTAGAAAACAAGCATTCTACCTTATCAATCTTTTAAATGCTTAAATAGTTACTCTGCTCTTTAAAATCCTCCCTCTTCCCAAAAGTTTAGGAGTTCCTTTTCCCAAGAAAAAGAAAGCTGTATTATTCTGTAATAAATTAGTAAACTAATTGAACACATTTAGGGTGTGGCTATCTGGACAGCTGCACTGAAATTTAAGTGACATTAAATCTATTAATCACTGACCCTCTGCAGCAGCCAGGCAAGCTGGTCTAAAACACAGCTGCTGGGACCTGCAGCTTCTCGAACCATCTCTCAGGTGATTCCGTGAGACTGTGCATTAAGTGAGAGCTCCAGAGGACCTCTGCTGAAAGATGGTTGCACCTGTTTTGATGTGAAGACCAGGAAGCAAATCAGGAATACAATCAAATACAAGTGCAGCCAGCCTTCCCAATGAAAACTGTTAGAGCCCGAGGTGGCCAGTAACTATTTACAAGGCTGTTCTTATAAATATTACAAGATATAAACTTGATGGCTTTTGAAAGTTGACTTAGTAAATTTCAGTGCTATTATTTAGAAACATATGTAATCCAGAATATAAGAGTAGAAACTTTTAATCATAAAAACTTTGGAAAATGCACACAGAATATTTCTTTACTTGAGCATACCAAAACGTAAGCTACTTCACTTGTTTCCAAATTTTCACTATAAAAGCCATGGTAAGGTATAACTCTGCCCATAAATCATCATGTGCCTTTTATAACTATTTCCTTAGAATGAGTTCCCAGAGCTGGAGTCACTCCATAAAACTGTCAAACTGCCCCTTCAAAACTCTGAATCAACTTACACTCCGACCAACATGTGCTACAGTGGCCAGGCCCACGCCTGCTGCCAGGTATTTCCATTAAAAAAAAAACAAACAAACCTTTGCCAAATGAATAGGCAAAAAAAGAGTGTTCTCACTCCTAGAAAAGCCTTTACACAAAAACAGTTCCTTGATAGCTTTTTATTCATGCTCAAGTCCCAAAGGATAACAAATGCCCAAGTCGTGTACCTTTCATTTTTATATCAAACTTACTGACACTGCATTTATTAACATTTATTCTACAATGGTGGGCACTGCATCATTTAAAAGAACAGGGACTTACCAGGACGGCCAGTGGGAGAGGGATGAACCCCATCCTCCGCGCCACGGAGTCGCTGTAGTCGGTGTACGCCTGGACAGAGAGAGGGGACGGGGCTCATGGGGTTCGGCCGCACGCGGGAAGTGCTGCCCATGCATCACTGGCACGTTTTCTACGCAGGTGAGGTTATGAGGAAGGGCACCTGGCATCTATTATATAATCCAGCAAAATGACTTGGAAATCTAAGCATTCATAAGAAGGTGGTATTTTTTTAGAAGTTTTAAATACAAAGTTGCATCAATGTTATAGTGCTGTAAAAATCATGTCCTGTCTATGTTAAATATTAGTATTATTTTTATTAATTTGTAAAAAAATGTAGTGTCAAGAACAGAAATAAGTAATTAAGTTGATGTAGCTTTCCCTTAACCAGTATTTCCTGCTAAATTAAACCATCATCAGTTAATTTCAGATTATGTGTTTGATATAATGCTCACATTTTTCTGTCGACTGCTCACAAGGTCAAAAGCAAGGCTGGCTCTATATTCACTGTAGACCTAAACGCAAGTAAGAACGCAACATTAAGTAATGCAGTGAAAATATATGTAGTGGGCAAATTTAAACTCTGTAGATAGATGAGTATGTTCAATAATCAACCAGAAAACAAGGTTCTAACAGGCACACAGACATCCGGGTGGGGATTCTCTATTTGTTTTCTGACTAAGAAGAATAAAACAGCTCCAATTTCCCAACTGTTATGTTCATAAGCCTTTTAAGGTTTCTTTTCACAGAGAGATAAATACTCAATGATTATAATCCTGAGAATTTACAATTTTGGGAATAGTAGCTATTTTAAATAGTCTAATATATGATGTTTGTCCAAGAGGTATCCTCTACATAATATGAAAAATAAAGACATTTATTGAAGAAGATACAAGGTACAAGAAACATTGTACATGGGATAATGACACCTCAGTCCCCTTCAAAGTAGGCATCTTGGGACCTCACACAGTTCTCCCAGTCACCATAGCTGCCCCATCATATATTCCTGAATCTCATCAATGGTCTGAAATCTCTTCCCTGTCAAAGGTGATTCTAGTTTTGGGAAAAGCCAGAAGTCACAGGTGCCAAATCTGGGCTGTAGGGCAGCTGAATCACCCAGGTGATTTGATGTTTCACCCAAAACTGCATGAGATGCGATGCATGAGCAGGCGTGTTGCTGTGATTAAGCTGCCAATTACCAGATGCCCATAACTGAGAACTTCTGAATCATCTGCATAGTTTCCATGGAGGAATGTTCAAGCTTAATGCAAAACTTGATGCAGATTCATTGTTCTGCTCACTCAGTCATTTTGAATGTGACAGCCACACAGTGCACATGCTCACTCAGTGGCATCTACTGCCCCCATTGATGACAGTGAAGTCATCATTGTTCCAGTCCACTCCCCTCGGCTACCGAGTTACACTGATGTCATGCAAACTGTTCTCATTATATTAACAATAGTTATACCTTTTGCGGATAGACCTTGTATATAATAATTTGGAAATTTTAAATTAAATAGTTTAAAAATTATTACTCCATATACAATAATCATACCTTCTTAGAAAAATAGATGATGAGCAAGACAAAACTGAATTTTGATAGCCTAATGTTTTAAATAGGAACTATGTGATTTTTCCAAGTTCAAGTCAACAGATGATGGTAGTGTTAACTTTTTATAATGACTTTGAGTTAGTGATGCTCTGACTACAACTACTAGTCAGGCTGTACCTGAACCCAGAGGTGTGGAACTGGAATGGTTTAATGCTAAACTATCATACTTTCGGTAGGGTGGTGCTTTTCAGAAATTTAAAATTATAATTCTTAAAGTAGTAGTACTCTTCTATTATCTTCAATATAACACAACAATGAATGCAATAAACCTAACTTGTTATTCTACAACTTTATAATTAAGTAGAAGTCAACATCAAAAACTATGTTGGTTACGAAAATACATACATCTGCAGTAATGTCATTGAACTTGGTGATGAAAGCATGCTTTACAATATCCACAGCGATTTCTGATGCAATCACCATACAGACATCTGGAAATAACACCCAGAGATGATCTATAAAGTACAGGGAAAAACAATTGAATTGTTTAATATGAATCGAATCCACACCATAGGCTAACACTGAAATCTGAAGCTCAAAGGGCACAACTACAATGTTTTCAATGAACAATAATAACAGAGCTAGAACTAGCATTTAATAAATTATCAAAGGAGCAGTATTTTATCAAGTTGAAGAAAAATTCCTTCGACACGTTTATTCTGTACTTTCTCTGCACCATGGGGGGGAGGGGGACACAGCATGGGCAGGGCCTCCACCTCCCTTCTGGAGCCAGCCAGGGCCACTGGTGGGGGACTAACGAAACACACAGGCTCATTATGAGGTCCTCTAACTCCAGAGCTGCCTCAGTGGGCAGGGACGTGGGCTGGAGTCAGCCAAACAACCCCCCCTCTTTGATCACCGCGACTTAAGATAGAGATCCAGCATTTACTTCACTGTCATACCTTTGTAACTTGTCGAATTTGCTCACCTTCACATTTAGTACAATGTCAAGTTAGTACCCACTACCTGATAAAAATCGCAACAGATAAACTCCTAAACCCTGAAGGATACAGGAGTGGGACAGCATGAAGCAAGTGAGAGATGCTGACAAGGACCTGTGACAAGTGGCAGCTGGGGGCAGGGCAGAGGTAACAGGGCGGGACTCTCCATGCTGACTGGAGGGCACATCTCAGAGTCTGAGATCACACTCAGGACTGGGGAATCAGGTCTAATTTTATGGTTTCTACAAGAAAATAACTCTGGACATATATTTCCAAGATCACAGATCTCATTTTGTATGTTTCAGATTTTTCACAGGTACTTGAAAACTAGCAATGAATCAAAATAAATTAACAAGAAGTTATTAAATACCTATACCATGCATGGTATGCCGGTAATAAATAAAATGCAAAACATAATGTCATTTCTCAAGCACAAGGTTTATGAAACCATCAGACACTGGAAAACTGTCTGTTACTTGCGAGAGCCGAGCACTGGGATTGCTTGCCACCAAGTGCGCTGCAGCATCACCAGGCTGCGTGCGCTGCGACCCGTCTGCCTCCTCAGCCGGCCTGCGAGTGCCACCACAGGCCACCACCTTCCACACGGCCCACAGCACACAGCCGGCAAACGTCCACCCAGAGGACGGAGGGTGCAAACTCACAGAATCACGGCGACTCGCCAGTCTCGACTCAGGGGTGTATATAAGTAACAATTTACTGCTTTACATTATGTTTCTTTAATTTGCCATTATTCAAAATGCTTATCAATGTTAGGAAAGAACAGAAGTTCTTCTGGTGAACCCCTTCCTACAACACAAAATATCTGACTGCACGGAGATAACCACAGCGCAGCTGCAGTGAGATAAACAGTAAGGGGCTGGCAGCTGCAGTGCTCAGCAGGGCCCGCTGGCCCGGTAAGGACCCAGCTGCAGCGCTGGTGTGCGGGGTGGGGCCAGTGTGGGGTTGGGTTGGTGTGCAGGGGTGCAGGGAAGGGGTGCGGGGGGGGTGTGTGGGGCGCGCGAAGACTGGTGCGCATGCTCTGGCTTCCCACCACCCCAAGCCACTCTCCTGAGGCAGGTGCTGCTGATACCTGGAGGGGGGCAGCTGAAACGCTCTAAGGTTTCTGCAATGCTCATTTCATTCCATATAAAAGAATGGTTTTTGGTTCAAGAGTAAAACTAGAAGCCACTGTAGTAGTTAAAAACTACTTACCTGGATTCCAAGAAAACTGTTCCATGTTTCTTAGGCAGACTATTAGCAAAAGCACGTAATTTGTAAATCGCTCTTTAATATCTGAAAAAATCAACAGATGAATACATAGTGCATGTAAATAATAGTACAGTATATATATAATTTTGTCAGAAAATGGAATTATTACATTATGTGTTAAGTGTCTGTAAAATAAATATACTATCTCATACACAGAATGGTGCTGCATTGATAAGCCATTTACTTCTTTCACCAACACAATTCCAGTATGAAAATTCTACTTTTCTGCAAAATTTCAAAAATATTCAAACCATAAGTCTGCTCATATTGAGTCAGATTCCTCCAATAGTCTTTGAGGACATATGACAACTATTTGCATCTAGAAAAAGAAAAAAAACAAAAAAACGAAGCAGAAAGTAAAATACAGGCCTGGGCAATGTAACATCCCTGCAAAGCAGAACACTGCATTTGCAATTTGGTCAAGACCAAGTGTAAGGCGCTAACCTGACAAACCCTTCCGCTAAAGAATAGTGTTAAAGAAGCATTTCTTAGGACACATGTAGAACTTTGGGGAGGGGGAGACCAAATCAGGTTAGGTTTCATAACATTTATATAATTTACTAAATACTGTCATCTTCACCTAAATGAATTTAACAAAAGCAAACAACTAAATTCCCGGTAGAAGCTAGTTTACACATTTTCCTTTAAAAGTTATTTTCTTATTGCAGCCGAAGACACTACGAACCGAGGGGTGAAATTAAGTGCACTGACGCCTGTGGCCAGCCTGGCACCTCGTGTGGGCCCGCCTACGCAGCCATGGGGCCGTGGCCGGCACAGTCCCTCACTGAGCAACCCGCCTCCCAGCCTGTACACACCCAACCGGGGTTCCCCTACTGTTCTAGAATCTCACAGTTCTGTGCCCCACCTTGCCATTCAGCAGTGGGACCTCCTGCATTTCAAGTGCACCCTGAAGTCCTTCCTCAAAATGTCTTTGGCTTCTCCTTTCTTATGTCCACTTTTCCCTGTCACTCTGCAGCAAGTGAAATGGCTTTTATTCTGCTGCCAAACCTTTGTCTCTATAAATGGGCTTGCGTTTCCCATGTGTGTATTCCCTAAATTCCTAAACTCTGTTTCTGGAGTAGCTCAGCTCTGAACTCTTATTTGGGAGGGGTCTGAGCTGCCACAGTTCTGTTCTCAGTAGCTCAGTGACCCAGAAAGTCAAATTGCTGTCCCTATGTTTTAGTTTTCACATCTGTAAGTGGAGTAATATCATCTCCCACAAAGCAATTTCTAGATTCATGAGAAGTCTCTGAGAGTACAGTAGGGAGCTATGTGTTTGTAATTCTTTACTATCTTTAACATCCTGAGGTTGCAATAACCAAAGTAATAATCAAACTTGGAAAAGATGCTGAGAGAGTAAGAGGAAGCCCTGCTTAAGCCCAAGAAGCAGGAGCGTGACGTCAGAGTTTGAGAACGGGGTGCAGAAGAACACTGCAGAGGGCTGTAAGCAGGGTCTAATGGTACGTACCACTATTTGACATCTGAAAAAGATTGTTCTTCTCAAACTTCTTGAAAACACTTCCTTTAATTTCAACAAACTGAAATAGTAAAAAAGAGAAGTTACCCTTATCATTGTAAGTTTTAAAAATGGACACAATACACATCGCACTTCCTGAAAAATAGCTAACGTGTGGAAAAAATATTTTCCCACCCAGAACACTGCTGCGAAGTGCCCGCATGACGTCCCACAGGTGGAAACCCTCCTACTCACGTTGTTCGACATCATGATGGTGAGCAGTGACTTGTTGTGTGAGTTGAACGCCACGTTGAGGGTCGTCGCCTGCACCATTATAAGAATCGCATGCAGAACTGGCAGTGGGTGGGGTCAAGGGAAAACCCGTCTGTTGTCATGTCAGATTAATAGACAATACGACACAAATCTCAAAGTGAATAATGAAGGGAAAGGTGACTCTGCGTAAGCATTTTATTCGTTGTAATTTTTCTACTGGTTGGCCCCAGTCTGACAGGATGGGGACGCAGGCCACCCACGTGAGACACACCAGCGCAGAAACGACCCTGCGCCCCCTTCACGTGCCCGGTGAGCCCCGGCCCGCGGCTCTCTTGCTCTTTCTGGTTCTCTGGCATTTGGTGCGATGCTTGGGAAACAGGCCCTGTAAAAAGTTTGTTAACTGAATGGAATAAATTATGGCGAATGCTGAAAGAAGAGACACTCAGCAATATACATTCTGAATTAAGATGATTTCCATTCCAAAATAGAAAAAAACACAAAGTCGAAGTCTGGATGTGATTTTCCCTTCTGGTCCTTCAGGGCATGGAGAGCCTCAGGTGGAAAGAATTGCCTGATCATTGACATTCTTCTTCATAGTCACTTTTTGAAGAAATCACAAGTTGTAGAATTATATTCCTATTGCACATGGAACAGTTTACTTAAATTAAAACAGTCACTTTTACCCCATTATACTTAAAACATGCTTTTACTCTGTAGAAATCTTCCCACTTAGCCCCTTAACTTTCCAAATATTAATCCAAATCCTTCAAGTATCACTGTTTCAGAGGCAGTAGAGAAAAAATCACAGGACTCATTCCTATGAATCAGTTCTGACCCACATGGGACTCCAGTGTAGGCAGGTGTGTGTGTAAACACATATGAATGGTCAGTTCTAACCCAGATGTGTGTAAATGCATGTGAATGGGCACATATACACACTATATATAATAAAGCCTTTACTTTTCAAATGAAAATCTTTAAGATGTGGGTGTAAGGGGAGAATAAAACCTCTAAAATTCCTCTCAACCAATTTCAAATTTTACTTCTAGATGAACTGTAAACATTTTAAGCTCAGGTTATAACAAAGAATTCACAGGCATAAAGATAACTTACAAAAATTCCAAGTAAGTGACACAGATGTAAAAAGTGACCCAGATTTATATAAAGTATCTATAATACCTTTAAGCCAAAAACCCTTCCACGTAATCAGTTACACCGAGACCAGAACTGGTGTACATGAGGCTCTTTAAGTCAATTTACAATGATTATAAGTAATTTCTCAAGAGAGAGCAGACAATTCGCGTTAATGTTCAGGATCGGGACTCACACGCACACCTGTAAACCAGAGAAACTGCGAACCAACTAGAACGGTGCAGGCTACGTGAGACTGCGGGAATCCCTGACGTGTCGAAAGGATACAGACGTAGAGAACGGCCATGAGGAAGTGAGGGACCACCCCGATGTGGGCTCTCTTCCTCTCCTTAGGCTCTGTCGCGGTCCAGTAGAGGGCGTCCAATATATCTTGGCCAAATGATGAGAACAGACGATCTGCCACCTACAGAGAAAAGTCATTGGAAAGGTGTTTCTTCATATCCCATCTAAATATGTCACGAAGATTCAGAGGCAGCTCAAATAGTAGAAATCCACGTTTATACAAAAATTAACCTTTAAAGTTAAGACCATTCTGAGACCGTCCGATCTCTCATGGCTCCCAGTCTCTAATGCCCCACCTGGTCTTCTCGTAGTGGCACGTGTTGCCTCCCTGTACCTCCTGACCTCCTGGTTTACTGTCTGTCTCCTGCCGGGGAACAGAAGCTCCGTGAGACCGGGCTTTGTTCGCCTCTTTGTCTTCAGGGTCTGAGACAGTTCTCTGCATGCAGGGACTGTCACGTGTCTACCCGACGAAGGAACACCACCACAGCCGCCACTTGGGGAGCTCTTACCACGTGCCTGGCAGTGCTGAGCCCTTTCTCTGTGCTGAGTTAGTCCTCACAATGCGCCCAGCACTTCCAGCTTACAGATGAGAAACTGGGGGTTAGAGACGCTCGGCCCCGGCAGCCCTGTGCAGGAGAACCAGGACCACGGGCAGGTTCTCTCTACACTAGAACCCAGACTTCTTGTCCACCGTGCTTAAACCACCCCACCAACCGCCGTCCACGGAGTGATTAGCAATTCACAGGCCCTCTTCCCCGACCTATCCACGATAACAGTAACAATGCCACCGTGCGGAGGGCTGTGTGAACCCTGAGGCATCTACATGAAGTCAGGGGGTAGGTAGAGGCCCTGTTACCTGCAGGCCCGTGGCAGGCAGGCAGTAAGGGACACCAGCAGGGCCCTGGCACAGAGCCACTGTAATGGCAGAAGGGGAGAGACCAGGCCAGGCCCGCCCTTCTGAGAGGGCGAGGGGAGAGTAGATGGTTACGCTGCCTCGCAAGCTTGACTTGCACCCACCATCTGCCTCCCATCGATGGGGCACAGCACAGGCAGGGCACTGAGCTACAGGCAGGAAGCTAGGGGCTCCTGTGGAATCATCTCGGTTGTGCATTTAGGAATAACCAGGATGGCTCGAGTTCCACATCTTCTGGGACAAGCTGGGAAGCCCTCGGGTACCATGGCAACGCAGCCTCAGAGCAGAAAGGCGCGAAGCTGCCCCACTGTCCCATCTGCCCACCCACTAGGAAAAACCCCTTCCTGGGAAGGGACATGTGTGAAGGACCCGTGGACAAACCGAGGGGTGGGTACTGAGGGGTGGAGGTGGGGGTCCGGGGGTGAGGGGGAGCAATGGTGGGGAAATGGAGACAACTGTACTTGAACAACAATAAAGAGAGAAAAGAAAGAAGAAAAAGCAAAACCCCTTCTTGGCTAATTTAAGACAGGGAGACCTTACTTATGTTCCTAAAACTCAGTATAGAAAAATGTAATTTGAATCTCAAAAATGTATTATATAATGTAGTGCAGCTTATGTTTGAAAAATGTTAAGATTCTAACCATAAATAAAGCACGGTTTGCTTTGTGTAACTTAGTTTTTGTACACATGCAGATGTTCACCTGCTGACCACTTCACAGTGAGATGTGCTATATAAAGAGTTAACTACTAGGGATACTGGGAAACTTATGTTCACTTGCTCTCCGTGAAAACTCCAAGTAATTGACATGCAAATCTATTACAGCCAACATATACAGAATCCCACATTTTCTCCAGGACCTTTTGAGTTCTAGCACAAAGTCGACATGGGTTTCCGATGAACACGCACAGCAAATTCTCCTGCCTGTTGACAATTCACATTCTCAAGGTGGCCACGACTCAGAAATATCCAGGCAGCAGGTCCCTTCTTCCTCACCAGGGGCATGTCATGCCCTGACCTGCCACCCACGGTGGCCCAGGACAGCCGCACAGGTGCACCTTGCTGGAAAGGCAGACTCCAGCGCCAGCCCAGGTGTACAGAATCTGCATTGCCACGAGCACAAGGACTAGATAAGCCCCGAAGGCCGGAAGCACCCTTCCTGGGGCTGGGGCTGGGGCAGGTGGGGGCCGCACTGACCGGTGGGCACGCGTGGCCCTTCCTCACCTCGAGCATGTTGTAGATGATGTAGAGCTTGATGACCGACTGCCCCCGGATCAGGTGGTACATCATGGAGTAGTCGACGTAGTGCATCATGAAATAGCAAATGACCAAGATGACGCCCTTTAAAATGTCACACACCTGGGCCGGCTGCAGCAAGCGCCTGTCCCTGCAACATAAGAATGAATACAAATATGATTTCTATGTTCTATGTTCTCGAAATAAAGAACCTTTACTGGACATACACAGGCACACAGTGCACAATGGTAACGAGAAGTAGGTTGATCTTTCAAACACTTCGCGCGAACAAGGAATGTTATGTACATATACAACTGACCACTTGGCAGTGTGAACTTTTCTGCCCCAGTGCAGAACGATGTTAAACCAGAATGACCATTAGAAGTGGGCGCAGTGGGCACAGCGGGCAGGTGTCTGTGGAGAGAGTGCGTTTCCAAGACGACGACGACGTAAGCCGTTCACCCGCCGACACCCTGCAGCCCGCTGGACCGGCCCCTTCGCACGGCGTCCACGCTCCGTGTGCGCTGCTCTGCTCGTGGCACTTTTCATTCAACAGCACAACGGACGCCCCACACCGGTCCGCGAGGAGCCTGCACGTCCACAACAGCGTGATGCTCTGGTGTGTGGAGGTGCCATGAATGAGGTCACACATCGCCAACGGGTTTCCCGGCTTCTGCAACCGAGAACCTGACACAGCGCAGATGCCACACTTTGCACACGCATGTATGTCTCTAGGGTAAATTCCTAGAACTGGGATTTCCAGGTTATGTTCACTTGACGCTGTGACAGAAGCAGCTGAACACCCTCTGCAGGGGCTGCACCAACTCAGATTTCAACTGGAAACACAAGGGAAAGCCTGCAGCCCACAGGCGTCAACCGGTGTTTGATCCACGATCCACTTCTGGGCCTTTGCTGTTCCCACTGGTGAAAATGGTGTCTCGTATCCTTTCACTGCTAACTTCTCTCACTGGGAGACTGACATCTTTTGAAAGTTTTTAAGCTGTTTATATTTTCTGTGAATTCTCTCCTTATATCCTTTCCTTACCGGTTTGCAGAACTGCTTTTATATTACACAAGTTAGCCCTCTGGGACATGAAGTGAAAACAGTTTTTTCCTAATTAACATGAACAGAAATCATTCCTTACTTCTGAGGTCAGACTGTGAACAGCGAAACCTAAAAGGTGCATGGAAACATTTTACTAAGACACAGAAAAAAATACATTAGAACAATAGCCTAAGATTTCTGTCCCCGGACATAAACTCCTGTGACAAGACTGAGGGAGCTTTCTCTCCGTCTGCTGCAGGCTGAGCCCCTAAGGTAGGAAACGCTCAGACTCCTGGCCGCTGTCAGGGACAGGCTGGCAATGAGAGGCCCGAGCCCTTTCCTCAGGAGCTGCAGAACCTCTCCATCCCCACCCACGGGACCACATTAATGGGAAGGTGAGCTCACCCTCCAGCCGGGCCCTCCACGTGCTGAGCTGCCTCCTCCCTGGACTGCTTTCCTCAGCCCCGTCCACATTCAGGTGGCGGCCCTTTTCCTCCAGAGATCCCTGCAGGGCTCAGCAGCGAACCTCTGAGCCTTCCAGCTGTCACCTGGAACGCCACGTCGCGAGATAACGGCGATGCCTGCAACGCCAGCCCGGGGAGCAGCTGGAGCCCAGTCCCAGTTTCTGCAACGCACACTGCACGCGGTTTGCAGTCAGGAGGGTGTCTCGTCTGTGCACTGAGAGAACAGGGGCCCTGCAAAAGCCCCGAGGAGGGGCGGGTTCTGTGAGGACCATGTCCAGGAGTCCAGAAAGAGGTGGGAAGGCACGGCTGAGCCCACGAGCCTGAAGGGAGACCCGCCCAGAGCCCGTCTACGTCCGGCGACACTTGTGAGACAGGCCGGGCAGAGTGCACTCACTCTGGGCAGTGGAGGTTTGGGAGAAGCTGCATCGGGCAAAGCGCAGCGACTTCCGTCCGCCTTCCTCTGTCCCCTTCCTCCCCTGGGAACCCAGACTGAACTTCATCTCCCGCTTCCGAAATTCTGGCCCAGAACACAGACCTCCGCCAGGGGCTGGCCAGCCGACAGGGTCCTTAATTCCCTGCCCTCCCCTCACAAGATCAAAAATGGAAGAGAGGTTACATTTGTTGAGAGTTGGAGCTAAACATTTTAAATTCATACAACGAGGGGGGCACTTTGAATGCTCCTGGGCTCCCGGCCTGTGTGTGAGTCACCTCTGGTCCCGCCAGGGAGCAGATGAGGCGGCACCGCCCACCTCCTTCTCAGAAATGTGGGCACAGCTGGGCATGTGCTCAAATCACAGGTCACCAACAGTCATGGGCCTCTGTACATAAAAGCCCCAGGTCATGTATTATGAATTAAAGATGATAGAAACAAAATGTAGGAGGACATTAGTGAATCTGCATTAATTAGCAAAACGATTTTGATAACTAATTAGAGCGGAAAACTGTACGTAGAGATTTTGGTACTAGATTGGCAACAACTTGGTTAAGTGATCCTAGTGAAGGCAATTTTACTGGAGAGAGAAGGCTACACAGCACGAATCTAACTATCTCTTTACAAATATCTGCAGCACAAGACCAGCTGGTGTATGTGGGAAGAGCCACTGCACTTAACACGCCATTGTCAGAAATCAGAACGACCAACACTGAAACCTATACCCCAAAACGACAACATTTTGAACCAAAACGATAATAAGTTAAAACCTAAACATTCCCTGTACATAGCTTCAATGAGCTCTACCTGGCCTAGGGTGAGAGTAGGCTGTAGAAATGACAGAAAGGCCGGAGTCGGTGAAGTGACAAGCCAGTGGCTGCAGGGCAGACACCTTCCAGGCCCACTTAGTTCTCACCACCGCCCTGCGAGGAGGGAACTCTCACCACCCAGCTGCAGAGCGGAGGCAGAGCGGAGGCAGAGCGGAGGCAGAGGGGAGGCAGAGCGGAGGCAGAGGGGAGGCAGAGCGGAGGCAGAGCGGAGGCAGAGCGGAGGCAGAGGGGAGGCAGAGGGGAGGCAGAGCGGAGGCAGAGCGGAGGCAGAGCGGTCAGGAGCGCGCCTGCAGCTGGACGGCTGTGACTTACGAGGTGGCGGGGCCAGCAGCTGGGCCTGGGCAGCCCGGCTCCCGAAGAAGGCACGCTCTCCACCCCCATCTTCCTCACCAGCCTCTACCACTTTAGGCTTTTCTGTAAAAGACCTTTTACACTTAGAAGAACCCACGACTCAGTCCCTTTCATCTGTCAGCAGATGTAATACCGGGTAATGTACCACTGTACTGTCTTCCTATTTGGAAACATTATTGTGCTAAAAAATGAATGTATCCATCATTTTTGCTTTTTATTTCCAAAAAGAGACCACAGTCCACTGCCTTCTGTGCTCCCCTTACTCTGGTGAGAATCTTCAAGCATGACTTGTTGCTACAGAGATGCCTCTGGTTTTCAAAATAAGGAGTATTACTCAAATAAAAAATAAAAGCAGAACTCCTAAGGAAGAAGGGTCCTATTTTCATGTAAATGTACCTGTTAATGAAAAAGGAAAGCTGCAAAAAATCGAAAGCTGTCTGTAAGTGAGGCAACATCTAAAGACATGCGTATGTTTCTCAGCCTGGCTGAGTAAGAGCCTGACCTCGGGGCCGTTCACCTGGTCGGCGACGACGGGAACCAGGCCAGCACCCGTCTGCGTCCCTGCCAGGGTATTTTTAGATGACACTCCGATAAGCATTTCCAACTCCCTAAGAAGCTTATCCACAGCCCTGCCAATCCACTCTAAATTGGCTTTTGAACAGTACTTCCAGACCGAAGTTCTTCCTTGTAAATTCCTGTTAAACAGTAGTTACTGGAAATTCATTTTGCAAATGCTGAAAACCCCATGAGTTCAGAAACGAGTGGAACAGGCTGTTGAACAGAGTGAAAAACCCACTAATCTATTTACAGGTTGGCCATGAGTTACCCTAACACAGGTAATATTGAACAAGGTATTCAGCAGGAGTTGTATTTGTTTTAAATTATCAAGTTAAACTGCTCTTCCACAAACCACATTTTCTTTATTTCTAAATTTTATCTCTTCCCCACTGAAATGCTTCCATTAGATTTGCACAATTAGCAGCTGAAGTGTTCCCGGCGTTTCAAAGGCTCACAGATTCATAGGAACAGAGTGGTGTAGGAGACAAAGACGAGCAGGGAAGGCTTTCTCCTCCCTGTTCAGCAGAAGCTGCTATGCTCACCAGCAAAAACTGGCTCCAGGCAGAAAGACAGGAAGGCAGAGCAGGCAGCACAAATGAGCAGGAGAAGCGGGGTGACCCTACCTCGCTAACTTTCAAGTCAGAGCTGGAACCTGCCCAGGTATCGTCATGAGATGCTCCGTTATAAAACAGGCTGGATCCTTCTTTCTCTCTTTCTCTCTCTAAACATTTTAAGTTATTTGTGGTATAATGGAAAGAGTAAAGAAATATAAGCCCTACTGAAATTAAAAATGTAAAATAACAAGTATGGTTCTCATTTATGAAAGGTGAGTCTCTATAATTTTAAAGTTAAATTAGAATAAAGTATTGAGATTAAGATATTTTCCTTAATTAGAAAACGGAAAATTTTAAATCTGGCTGTCATGGCATATGGAAAAATACTAAATGGTTAAATGGAATGATTAGTTTTCCTTCGGCTTTAAATAATTTCGAACTATACTAGGAAAACCAGCTGGTTTTATAAAGCCATGTCTGGTATTTGGAGTGACAGAAAACAAAAACCGCCTGCATGGACGAAACCAGGCTCAGCCGACTGCTGTGGCGGCAGGGTAAGTATTGCTGCCATTTGCTGCCCCTGCGGGCCCAGTGTGGGTCACGAAAGACCGTTTTTCTGGAGTGGCTTTCCCGTGGCAGGTGCGGGCGTGGTCAGATCCTTGCTTCACCAGCAGGTAAGGACAGGGAAGCGCATTTTCTGCAGTGCACGCCCCTCCCAAATGGCTATGCCCGCCTCGGCTGTTTTCTTTCCATTATAGTCAATATTTGTTTGAACTGCTGTCGACTGAGCCAAGGAGACAGAGGAAAAACCAGGGTTCACTCACCACAGGGAGTCCCTGGGACACCACACTCCATTCTGCAAAGGAAGGGAGAGTGCCCCTCCCTCCGGTCCGATTCTCGAGGGAGGAAGAGAGAGAAG